AAAATCCCCCAGGGAGTGGGCCTAAGCCAGCAGGTGGTCATTCCCTGAGGGGTCCCAGACTGTGAGAGGGCACTGGCCGGGCTGAGGGACCCTCCAAGTGCACAAATTTTTGTGCACTGGGCCTCTAGTGTGTATATATGTATATATATACCTATAAAATTGTCATCCAAATCAAATAGGGAAATAAGGAGTTAAACTTAAAAAATGGTTTAATCTAGAGAAGAGGCTCTAGGTAGCTAGATGAAAAGAAAGGCAAATTAGGCAAAAGCTATAGACCCCAAACACCCCGAATTTAACTGCTGTTGATCTGGAGCACATTAAGCTAAGTGAGATGAGTCAGCCAGACAAAGACAAGCACTGTATGATATCACTTACATGTGGACTCTAAAAGCCAAACTAGTCAAAACAGGGAGTAAAGTGGCAGTTTCCAGGGCCTGGGGGCAGGGAGAAGATGGCACATGTGCTCTTTAAGAGTATGAATTTGCAAGGAGTAGTAAGCAAGCCCTGGAGACCCATTGGGTATAGACAACAATATTGTAGTATAGTCATCAAACTTGCTAAGAGACTAGATCTTAATGATTCTAACTAAAGAGAAATGATCACTGTGTAACCTGATGGGGGTGTTAGCTACTCCTGCAATGGCCATTATATTACAATGTATAAATATATTCAATTAACATGTTGTACACCTTAAATTTATACCATGTGATATGTCAAATACATTTTAATAAAAAAAAACAAAAAATCAAACACCCCCAAAGAAACAAAACTGCTATGTTTCTTCATCTCATCTCCCTTCCACATATCACTGCCTTCTCCAGTTCCAGACCTTTAACCTACGTTCCCCCTGAGAGAGGCTGTGAGGGGAAGACTGGTTTGATCAGTGAAAACTTTGGAATCCTTGCTCTGAAGCACACTCCTGCTCTCCTGTTGCCTCTTGCATTGCTGGTCCTTGGACCACACAATGGATGTGGACACTGGTTTTGTCCCTACATTCTCTTTCTCCTAAGAGTGTTTTTGTACTTATCACCTGACCTCCTCAATTCTAGCCCCTCTCGGTGATCATTCTGCTTGTTCAACTGGCCCTCAAGCCCTGAGGTGGTATTTCAAGACAGAGATAGAAGTGGAGTTTGGGATTGGACAATTATTCCACTGGGCAAGCCCAGTTACAGGTGAATTTTTTTCAATAAACACATACAATACTGTAAAAATACTTTATCTCCCTTATGATTTTTTAATAGCATTTTCTTTGCTCTAGACTATTTATTGTAAGCATACAGCATATAATACATATAACATGCAAAATACATATTAATCAACTGCTTGTATTATTAATAAGACTTCAGTCAACAATAGGCTATGATAGTTAAGTTTTTGACTGGTCACAAGTTACATGTGTATCTTTGACTGTGTGGGGGTCAGTGTCTCTGACCCTGTACATTGAAAATTGTTCCAAATCTTACAGCCTTTCCTAAAGCAAAACTTTTTCAATTTTAGGTCATTGTGTTTATTTTTTGTTAATAAATGGACTCTTGCTTAAAATTGATATTATATTGGGATGTTTTGGTCTAGCATACCCATGTCTTCTCTAGTGGTTTTGGAAATATTGGTTTGAGAACTTTCACTTTTTGATATGGGAAGTGATGTTCTTTTTTTCCCTCTAGAAAAAATCTCCAGCCGCAGCAGCATGGCGGGTTTTCAGAGCCTCCCGGGGCCAGACCTTGAAGGCGTGCAGCCTGCATCAGGCTTTGGGTCTGAATTGCTCAGTTGTTTTTGGGGCTGAAGCTGACTTTGCT